GCCACTGGAAGGGGACGCAGAGGGTGCGCTATGCAGGCATTCGAGCGGGATGGAGCCGGCAAATTGGCTGAGGAATTTGGCCGAGAAGTCGCTCGGGGCCGGCCGGGCGCTGGTGGTGGAGGGATCGCAGTTGCGGGCCAGCCAGACGCGCCCTTGCATGCAGACGTGGGCTTGGCCGTTCCAGGGCTCGTGGAGCCACGAGGAGGCCTGGGCCGCCCAGGTGCGTTGCGCCTCGCAGGGCGTGCGGGCCCAGGGCGGCGTGGTGGCGAGGCGCGCTGGGCAGTTTCGGGTGGCTTGGCATCGCTCGGACGTGTGCATTCTTTTTTTCGGCGAGGACCATCGAGGAGCATCCTGGATCATCGAGCCAGAAAACTACCCACGAAAACGAAACATGCACAGGGAATGGACGTCCGAGCGATGGCAGGGTGGGGCGGCGGCAGGGAGCCAGGGCCTGACCCGGTGGCCTTGCTCGCGGATGCGCAGGCCAAGGGGCGGGCGGCGGCGGCGTGGGGCAGGGTGCGGGCTGGGAAAACGAGGGGGCCGCACCGCTGCCTGCCGAAGACCCCCGCACCGGCGGCCGCGGGGGCCGAGGGGGGAATCGGAGGCGTGGCCGTCCTCCAGGGTGCCCTGGGTTTCTTGGATTTCGATGGTTTTGCAGTAGAGAGCGTGACGCTCCCGCGCCAAAAATCCATGGGCGTCCTGGGGTCTCAGGGTTGGGCTTCTTGTGGAAGGATTCTTGTGGACTGGCCTCCATTGTACCTGATGCCCACCGGCGGGTGGAGGCGGTGGCGGCGGAGGCGGCGGAGAATGGCTGGCTGCGCCGCCTCGGCGGGGTGGGCCTGCCGCGGTTGGCGTGGGCAGCGGCTGGAGCGCCGTCGGTCGCGGGGCCCGAGGGGAGCCTCGGCAGCCACCCGGAGGAGGTGGCGGTGGCATGTCCCTTCGTCGCGTTCATGTAGCGATGGCACGGTTTGCGCTTCGCGCGAAGCCTTGAGCAATCGCCTTGCCATAGTGCTTTGTGTGTATGTATACTCTACATCGAAATGTGTATACATAGAGATGCAAATACATATGTTATGCAAACACAAGTACATGTACATATGATTATACGTATGTGTTTACAGCAACATACATATATATATATATATATATATACACATGCACGCATACATTTTCATATACATATACACATGCAGATACATATACATGTACATGTGCATGTGCATGTATATGTACATACGTATGTCCATACATACATACTTAATTAAGTGTGTGTATCTACATACTTGCGTGCATCTACACAATTATACATATGGTTGTGAACATTTCTGTCGATAGATGGGCACACACACACATGGCACTATATCCTCTCATGGTTGCTCCTTCCGCGCGTTCTCCCTCTCCTCCCTTGCCTCATCCCGCTGGTCCTTAAAATTCAAATAAGGAGTCAATGGAAAAGGGCGAGGAGAAAGAGGACGGAGGATTCGATTAGGATTGAACAGGAGTCAAGTAAGGAGTCAGTAGGATAGGGCGAGGAGAAGGGGGAGGGAGGATTCGATTAGGAGTGAATAGCATTCAATTTAACAGTTCAATGAGACAAGGCGAGGAGGAAAAGGAGGCGGGGGGGGAGGCTTCTATTGGATTTTGAACGAGATCCACATAGGAACCCGATAAGAAAGGAAAGGAAAAAAGAAGGGGAAGGGAGGAGGAGGAGGAGGGGGAGGAGAAGGAGGAGAATGAGTTCGATTAGGATAGGTTCATAAATTCAATCGGGCAGGGCGAGGAGGAGGGGGAGGGAGGATTCGATTGGATTTGAAAGGGGCCCAGATAGGAGCCTGATAAGAGAAGAACAACAAGGAAGAAGATGGGAAAGAAGAAGGAGGAGAGGAAAGGGAATTCAATAGGTTTTGTTTTAACAAAAAATGTGTATTCAAAACCCGTGAAAACGCACACAGGGTTCTGCATTGCGAAAGCTAAGATATCGTGCGCGCTTATATGGAGCATGGTACAGCGCCTTTCTAATAACAAAAAATGGAGACATGAAGTGTTGAGCTCCCGAAATGGGATGTCCCAATGCAGACACATGGTTTTACATTGCCCGCATCAAAAACAGTGCGAGAGCCTTCGAAGTCTGTGAAAACACATGGATGTCTGTCCCTGGCCTCACGAAACCATACTACATATTGTCTGTGATATGTCTTGTTGCCTCGACTAGTAAAATAAGCACTGCTAGTGATTGTCTGGTGTGTTTGTTTGTTCCTTCTTTCTGGCCCGCAAACCTTTTTTTTTCGAATCAGCAATCAGCGCCGCCTGGCTCGCAGACCATGCTGCCATCAAAATATCAATGATCCTTGTGTTGTTTGTTTCTCCGCTTCCAAATGCTCAATAAAACAGTATGTTCCTCTGTCTCTCCTGAATAAAAAAGACAAAACAAACCATCATACGTTATTGGGACCTTTGAAGCGGAAGGACAAACAAAAAAAGTGCGATTAAGATTATCAGGTGGATCCCATGGAAAGTTGTGGCTTTCACGTGTTAGTTCAAACTATAAATACGACTTTGTGGGTGTTCTCTTTCCTCTCTCAGGGTCTTAGTGAGACCGTAAGTTTCTTTCTAAAATGTAGAAAGTGTATGTATACTGTGGAAAGGAAGGACATAAAAAGAAGGCGGTGAGCTCTTAGGTTCAGAAATGCGGAAAACATTGGGTGATATTGATATGTTGAAGCAAAATTTTGATATCCATATACACGAATGAATAAAAGACCCTTAGGATTCCATCCCGGAATATCAATGGAACCTTGTGCGTGTTGCTTGCCGTTGTTAGAATTTCATCAAACAAAAAAAAAAGCATTATGTGTTTGTGTTGTTGCTTCATATCGGAAAGAATAAACAATGTGTTACTGGTACTTTGAAAGCGGCAATGCAAAACACCCAAAAAACACAAAGTGCAAGTGAGATGTTGCGTCGCAGCATTTTCTGTTTAAAAGTCGCAGTACGAATCCATCCCAACAATTTAATGGAACAAAACCGTGTGTGCGTTGCTGTTCCGCTTTCAATGTGTCCTTCAAACGTTGTGCTGTATGTTTATTTGTGTCGGGGGGGAAACAAACAAAGAAACGCAATGTATCATTGAAGTGTTGAAAGCGGAAAGACAAAACAACAAAAGGGTTCATGTAAAAAACTAATGTTCTTGAGCTTCAACCGCTAAATATCAGTAAGATGTTGCGTATTGTTTATTCCAGAACGTTGCTTTTTGCTTCTTCTTCCCGCAAAGACATAGAACACAAGGTCGCACTTAGATTTTGATGGCAGCATAGTGTGCAAGCCAGCCGGCGCTGATTGCTGATTCGAACAAAACGGTGGAACCAGAAAAAAGGCAAAACAAAAGAGAGAGAGAGAGAGGAACAACAAAAAAAAAATGTCGGGACATTCGGGGCCAAAAAGTCGTAAATTGAAATTGAGTCATCTTGCGTCGGCAGGGCCGAATCCCGCCCGGTGGGATTTCTAAAACCGTGTGTTTCTACGTCGGGATTATAGAATACCCCGTCCCAAAGATATATTATTATATTATGGGAGGAAATCTCAGATTTAGAAACCCCGAATATTTGAACCGATCGCTCTTGGCCCAGCCAGCTAGGAGGCAAGGGGGGGCAGCTTAGCGCGGCTGGGGCAGGGGTCAGCCTTCGCCCGCCCGCTCGAGCGGAAGTAACGGACGACATGAGCATCATCTTGACGCTCCCCAAAAACGTGACGAACTTCTGCAACGGCGTAGTAGGAGGTCTCTTGGGGGCCGCTAGGGGGCCTCTTGAGGCCCCTTCGGGGCCTCCTTGGTGCCTATTGGAGCCTCTTGGGGGCCTCTTGGGGCGGAAGGCTCGGATTGTCGGTTCGTGTTCCCTCGTTTGGGCCTCTTGGAGTCTATTGGGCAGTTTTGGGGCCCTCTTGGAGGCCCCTCATAGGTCTTCCTGGGGCGGTCTTGAGGGCCTACAGGGCCGTCTGGGAGCGTCGAGAAGCCAAAAAGGCGAGAACGCCAACATCTTTCAAAAACCTGAGGGAAATCAATGGTCTTGGCCTCTTGTGGCCCTCTTGGGATACCTCTCGGAGGCTTCTCGGGACGTCTGGGGGCCATCTTCAGCGTCTTGGAGCGATCGTTCGGCGATTCGGGGCCCTCTTGGACCGTCCTGGGTCCTGCTTGGGACCCTCTTGGCCCCTCTTGGGCCCTCCTGGGCTCGATAAGCTCACGCGGGGACGTTTCCCGGAGCCCAGGGGGCACGCGACAAGCCCAGGTAGATCTCAGAACTTGGGGTCCGGGCCCTCTTCAAGACTCCTGAGGAGTGAGGATTGAGGCTTAGAGGACGAGGCAAAAGACCTGAGGACACGCTCATTCCGTGCCCAGAGGCACAGTGGCGGATGATTCTCCTCTCCTCCATATCCTCC